AAGGTGGCTTCCCAATAAGTGATATGTGAAGCATACAGCCCATAGACATAACAGTGTTTAAGTCCATGTGCACTTTGAATTGCAACTTCTGGGAAAGTGGAACTAGGAGTTCCATATAAAGTACAGTGCTACTTTATGTAGCATTTCCAATTGAGCCATTGTTCTCAATTGAACAATGTATTATTGTTGGAGGGATTACCCTTGTTTAATATTTCCATGCAAAATATGAACCATGGGGTAACACTGGTTAACAAATTATACAAATTACAAGAGGTCTGGTGCATGAATTCATGCACCAGTGGGGTCCCTCAGCCTGGCCTGTGGTATTGGGCTGAAACTGGCTCTCTGACATCCCCAAAATTACAAAAAGACAAACACTACATCCAGTAATAGTTACATTAGTAGATGCAGTGTTAATAGAACATTAACCATCTTAATGTTCACATTATACATAAGTAGGAGGTGAGTTCCTGGCATAATATATATTATGAAAATAAAGATACAACATTCTTGTGATAGCCAAAACCAGTTTGACTCAGTGGATAGAGTGTAGGCCTGCAGACTGAAAGGTCCCAGGTTCGATTCAGGTCAAGGGCATGTATCTTAGTTGCGGGCACATCCCCAGTAGGGGGTGTGCAAGAGGCAGCTATTGATGATTCTCTCTTATCGATGTTTCTATCTCTCTATCCCTCTTTCTTCCTCTCTGTAAAAAAAAACAAACAATAAAAATATATTATAAATAAATAAATAAATAAATAAATTCGTCTTATTAAAAATAAAATTCTTGTGATGATCTGTTGAAATAAATTTTAAGCTTTGTTTTTTGAGGCTTTCATTCTGTTGTAGATATATGTTGTTTTTTCCCTATTATGGTACATTTCTAATACTAGATATACATAACTCATGTCTTTAAAGTAGTTATAAAGCTCCAAAGTAGAAGGATATTCCAATTGACAATGCATTTTTATCTCTTGTTGGACATTCTATACTATTGCAATTTTATTTTATTTTATTTTGACAGTAACTTCCAAACTAGCTCTGTAGACATCAGCAAATGATATTTTATCAAGGAGATTTAAAATTTTTAAATATCCCATCTTCTATCCATGCAAGTCACCATATTCTAAGCACTATCTCTGTTTCTATAAAGTTCAACTCCTACCAGGCTTAGCTTCTACTAGGCTTATCTTGTATGTCTACAGCTCTTATGGGAAAAGCATCCTCTCCAAAATACCTTTGGGCCATTGTAAAGGTCAGGATTATGCATCTGAGCTCCCATTTTGAAGAGCTTGGGCTGCATTAAACATAGGGCTACATAGATTTAGAAGCAGCCCAAGTGTCCATCTGTTGATTAATAGATTAAAAAAAAAAACAAAAAAAAAAACTATGGTACATTTACACAATGGAATACTGCTCAGCCATGAAAAAGAAGAACATTTTACTCTTTGTGACATTATGAATGAACCTGGAGAATATTATTCTAAGTGAAAATAAGCCAGTCAAAGAAAGACAATTACCATATAATTTCATTTATGTATGGAATCTAATAAACAAAATAAACTAACAAAGAAAATGGGAACAGACTGACAGCTGTCAGATAGGAGTGAGGATTGGAGGTCTGGGTGAAAAAAGTGAAGGGATTAAGTAAAAATAACAAGATACCCACAGACAACAATATGTTGATTACCTGAGAAAAAGGATGGTGAGGGGAAGTAGGACAGGGTAAAGGGGGGATAAATTATGATGAAGGAACTAGACTTGGAGGGTGCTGAATACACAATATAATATACAGATGATACATTTTAGAGTTGTACCCCAAAATCTGTATAATTTCATTAAACAATTCACCCCTATAAATTTAATAAAAAATTAGAAAAATAAAAGCTTGGGCTGGTTGCCTATGGGAACCATTAATGGGAACAAATATAGGTCTTTTTACCACCCCACCTCCACTACTTTCTTGCTACTACAACACAATAAAAAGTCATGGAGGAGTTGGAAATTTGGCAAGGGTGCCCAAGAAATCAAGTATTAAAAAAGAGCAGAATTCACTTGTGAGGAAATTTTTTCTTTCAGGAAAGGTTGTACATTATAGCGGTTTGACATATTCCAGTCAGATTATCTGGGTTTATTTAATCTTTGACTTGACCATATTCTAGCTGTATAGCTTTTGAAAGCTACTGAACTCCATCGGGTCTCCATTTCCTTAAAATTAACTTCCCTTCGGTACCTGGGACACAGGCTTCCCTTGCAGCCACAGCTTCATCCGGAAAAGCAGAAGGACTTCTAAAAAGATGTGGGTTCTAATTAGCATATTATGCTTTTATTATTATAGGTCATTATGAATTTATAGGTTAAAAGGCAAAGTTTAGATATATGGAATTGTTAATGGAGAGGAGATATCTTCACCTCCCCCAGTTGATAGTGGTGATGGACTTCTTGCAACATCCACCTAGCATCACACATAGTTATTACAATAGTATTGACTATATTCCCTATTCTGTACTTTGAATCCATATGACTCTTTTGTAACTGGCAATTTGTGTTTCTGAATCCCTTTACCTTTTTCACCCCCACCTCCCAACCATCTGGGAACCATCCGTTTGTTCCCTGGGTCTTTGAGTGTGTTTGGAATCTCAGTGCCTCTTATTTGGATGGATAGAAGAGAACAAGTGTGTATGGTTTCTGTGGAGAACTTGAAGTGAGGCTTCAGTCTGTTCATCACCTACCTAGCATCAGTGCAGTGTCCATGACAATGCTCTTTGCTTCCCCCTTCCTCTCTACCCAAGATGTGCCTTTCTAAAGGAAAAGATACAATTCAGGGTCTTGCGAAGGGAACGGAAGATGCTCCGTGTATCAAGGTGATTCAATGCTAATTAGGTAAAGCCAGCTCTGGAGGAGAAATTCCTGTTGGGTAGTCCTGTGACATGGAGCTGCAAAGTCAGATTAATCGGAGTAGAAAGAGGACAGGAAAAAAAAAATCTTGACTTGGAGCCAATACATTATCCCTAGTCATTTGCTTAGTTATATCCTAGTACTACTTCATAGTTTCCAACGCGTTAGTACTATATTTCATTCTGTCCACACTGTTACCTTGGGAATGAGGCAAGAGAAGTATTTTTATAATCATTTTACAGAAATATAACGTGTTGTCTAAGGTCATGAACATGAGGGATGTCTAAAATGGACGCCAGATCTTGGTCTCCTGACTTTTTAGTGTAAGAGCTTTGGAACACACCAAACTCTAAGACATGGTGATCTTTCTGGTGATCCCTTAAAAATGACACTCACATGTACTTGGTATGTATGTATAAAAGCACACATACTTCTTGTTATAAACTTATATGTGCTCGTTGCAGAAATAGATTGGAAAGTAAAGAAGAAAATGTGTACCATTTACCATTGACACTTGGTGTATTTTCTAGGGGATCAAGTGAAATTTTGCTGCAAGCAGGAAATATACCCTTGGGTTAGGATGTATTTGAGAAACAATGTTAAAAAAAATTTTGTGTTTTTCTTTTTATAAATCTTTATTATTCATATTATTACAACTGTTCCTCATTTTCCCCCCTCCACCAGGTTTCCACCCCACCCTCTGCCCTTTCCCCCCCCACCCCCATTGTCCTCATCCATAGGCGCACAGTTTATGTTCAGTCTCTTCCCGCATCTCCCCAACTCCCCTTTTCTCTGAGAATCGTCAGTTCACTCTTCCATAATTTTTTGTATGTTTGACTTTAGAAATACATGATGTCATTCCCTTCATCAAATTTACTTGAGTTTACTCAGCCCATCTCCTCAGAGCTGGGCAGTCTACAAATTGAAAGTTCGTGTAAATCTTGCACCTCTACAATCTTGACTTTTTCTTCTTTTCATATTTAACAGAATACCCAATTTCTGGCTAATCATCTACTACCTTATGAGATCTTACTAAGTCATTTCCTCCCCCTCTCCTCCCAAAATTCCCTTCTTCTCTAAGCTAGTTTACTCCAAGTCAAGTGAAAAAGGAGAGTTATCAAAAAACTTGTTATTCTCTCATTTATAACTGATTGTGTGACCCTAAGTGACTTCAGTTTTCCGAGCCTCAGCTTTGTCATCTTTAAAACAAGTTTGGCTCACCAAAACCGGTTTGGTTCAGTGGATAGAGCGTCAGCCTGCGGACTGAAAGGTCCCGGGTTCGATTCTGGTCAAGGGCATGTACCTTGGTTGCGGACACATCCCCAGTGGTGTGTAGAAGGTAGCTGACTGATGTTTCTCTCTCATTGATATTTCTAATTCTCTATCCCTCTCTCTCTTCCTCTCTGTAAAAAATCAATAAAATATATTTAAAAAAATAAAAATAAAACAAGTTTGGCTCATGTGATTTTAGAGTCTCTCTCCAGCCCTACCTTTCTCAGATTCCATTATTAAATAACTTCACACCAGAGTGTGAGTGCCTGGTAACTATGACCTCCTAGGAAAAATTCCAAATGTGTTTTTGTATTAGCACATATAGATTTATTCACATTTTCACTCAACCTTTTAAGTATTCATCCAATATATCTGTTACATATCTATAAAGAACTAGAGATGCCTGGGTCTGGTAAACAAGAATGTCCCTGGTATCATGAAGCTTATATTGCAATGAGAATATAGATGAATAAACAAGTAGTTATGAAAAGTTGTGATATTACTAAATGGAAAGTGCCCTGTTTTATGGGTAGCAGTATGGAGTAGGTCTCATTTGGAGCAATATTTAATTGTAGTAATGAATAAATCAACTTTTATACATTTTATTATGCATACTTTTTATTATTATATTCTAATTATATAGATCATAACACTTCTAATATAATTGCTTTTTATTATTTTTATGTAAAGCATTCATAGACATCAGAAAAATTATTTTGAATTTTTTTATAATGCAGTTTCTACATATTGATCTGTTAGTCTGATAAAATGAGTAGCATTAATACATACAGACATACTTTGTCTTGACAAATTGTACCCTTGCGGGGGTTAGATTATATTTCCTTCAACAGGGCAGCAATAGTTGTATTTTTCACAGACTTTAGAAATTTCATGACATCAGTGCCCCCAGTTCCTTTATTTTCTTCTTCTGATGGCTCTTCAGATGATTGTTTTCTCTTGGACTTGTTTGCAGGAACCACAATATATTTAGTTACTATAGTCAAATGGTATTGTCTCAGGGAAACCATAGCATTCACACACATATTATAAATTTCCTGTAGGTCTTCATCCCTTTCTGAAAGGACAAACTCACGAACTGAAGGTTTTGACTCTAATGAGTGAAGAAATTCCCGGTGAGCTGGTGGCATATATGTTCGCATTTCCTGGAGGAATTCAGCAGATGATGCTGAAGGAACAAATGAAAGATGAGTTAGTAGAGAAACTGAAGCTTTGCACAATCCAAGGAGGAAGGGCAGAGGGAGGTCACAGTGGGTGGAAGATCACAGGCCAGCAGTGTGGCATAAGACAATGAGTTTATAACCACCCTGCTAGAAAGCTGTAAAGCTGTTAGTCTTCTTACTAGTAATGACAGTTATGTAAAATATGCTTAATTTTGAAAGCCTGATGAACTAAACTCAGGAGATATATATATCCTGATATATATATATATATATGCAAATTGACCACCACTCAAAGACACAAGATGGCCACCCCCATGTGGATACAAGATGGCCATCACAAGATGGCCTGCAGGGGAGGGCAGTTGCGGGCATTTAGGAGTGACCAGGCCAGCAAAGAAGAGCAGTTTGGGGAGACCAGGCCAGCAAGGGAGGGCAGTTGGGTGGGGAGACCGAGGCCTGCAGGGGCAGGCAGTTGTGGGTAATCAGGCAAGCAGGGAGGGCAGGTAGGGGTGACCAGGATGGCAGAAGAGAACCAGTTGGGGGAGACCAGGTCAACAAGGGAACAAGACAGCAGGGGACAGTAGTTGTGGGGGATCAGGCCTGCAGGGAGGGCAGTTAGGGGTGACCAGGCCAGCAGGGGAGGGCAGTTAGGGGCAATTGGGTCAGCCAAGGAGCAGTTAGGCATCAATCAGATTGGCAGGGGAGTGGTTGAGGGTGATCAGGCTGGCAGGCAGAAGTGAATAGGGGCAATCAGGCAGAGATAGGCGAGCTGTTGGGAGCCAGAAGTCTTGGATTGTGAGAAGGATGTCCAACTGCCTGTTTAGGCCCGTTATAATTTGTACTTGACAGATTATGCAACCAAGTCCAAGAAAGTTTAAAGGATAATTTTAAATAAGTGAATGAACTAAGAAAGAAAAAGCATATTTTTGCCTAGCCCTATTAAATATAAGATTAGGAAAAAAGAGAAAAGTAGAAAAAAGTCCTTCTTTTAAGTTCTTAGAAAAAGCATAACGAATGTGACTTATCTTTTAACTTGGGTTGCATTGCCCCTGTATTGCTGGGGCAGCAGGATGGCTGAATAAGAGTAGTGTGAATCCTCGTTTCATCACTGAAGACCCCACATCCCCAATTTATACTCACAGTCCTATCTCATTTGCAGGTGACTCTCATGTTTCTGAACCTGATTGTACATTTTCAAAACCTGTGATATAGGTTTTACATAGTCAATCAAGCTTTATAAATATATGTTTAGATGTTAAGATTAAGAGGATGATAAAGTTGGGTTTGAGTTTTGGTTTCAGTACTTTGTAGCTGGTTAACAGGGAGCCATCACTTATCCTCTTTACCTTTCTGCTTTTTCATCTGTGAAATGGGATGATGGCAACACAAACTCGACTTTACTGATCCTCCCACGAGTACCAGATAAGCTCAGGTACAATGTTGATGTGAAGGAATTTTTTTTAGATATTAAAACCAATATTAATATAAGAGATGATTATTATTTGTAATTTTCTACTCACCTTCATCAGAACTATGCTGGATGCCCAACAGAACATCAAAGCACTGAAAGATGCTGCTTTGGGCTGCACTACCCCCAGCGAACATTTTTGGGGTGTCCCAGACGCCTTCATACAGTAATCCCTCTGGCAGCTTGGCATTGCCTTTCCAGCTAGGTCAGGAAGGAAAGAAAATCATTATTTGGATTAACTGCCAATTTTTTCAGATATAAAAGTCTTCCAATAGAGGAAGAATGGAAGGTGACATCAGATAGATTTCAATCTTCTCCTTCCACATCCCCCTTTCCACCCATGTGCACCTGTGAGAATAATGAATAACGTGGTTTTGAACAAATTTTGGCCTGAGTATTCTATGAATGGAACCTACCTTTGCGCCATAGACCATTCCTATCTCTTCAAAATGACTATCGATAGCTTTTCTGCCCATACTCCAGCATATACCTAGCCACGTGTTAACAGAGAGAATAGTCTATTCTTTGTCTACCACTCATATTTTAGGATACTAAAAAAATGTTTTCTAAATATAATGGATAGTGGGAACCATCCGTGGGTATTTATGTATTTTTGTGTTAATTATATAAGAAAAAAAAGTTCACGCATAAAGCTACCTACCCAGACAAGTATATGCGAAGAACATTGAAAAACAGTTTCGGGTCCACATACTCTGTAAAAAGATAGAATGTTTAGTTAAGGAGCATCAGAGTTCTAAGGGTAAATGAAGGTATTTTAAACACCTGACAGTAGATTTTAGTAGAGGCTGCAGGAAAGGCATGTCAGTGTTTGTAAAGAAAGCCCCTGAGGACAACCTCTCACTCGTTTGCCCTCTCCCAGGTGCGCCCCACTAATCTCTTGTGCCTCCGGAATGGGTTCTACCACAGCTTGTGTACAAAAGCCTGGATCCACCTACCACTCGCCCTCAGATCGATAAAACTGTCAGCATTTCTTTAAGGCTACTTCATGTGCTTACTAACACAACAGATAAATTACTTCCATAAAGAAACAAACAGATCTCAGCAAAAATAAAATAAGAAACAAAAATTCCAACAGTCCTACGGACCACATCCCTCTCTCCCCTCCCAAAGCTTGCTCATGTCTCTGATTTTTTAAAATATATTTTTTATTGATTTCAGAGAGGCAGGCAGAGGGAGAGAGGTAGAAACATCAATGATGAGAAAGAATCATTGATAGGCTGCTTCCTGGACACCCTAGACTGGGGATCATGTGCCCTTGGCTGGAATCAAACCTGGGACGCTTCAGTTTATAGGCTGACACTCTATCCACAGAGCCAAACCAGCCAGGGCAGCTAATGTTGCTGATTTGAGACTCAATCTTCTCACCAAGGACCACTTAGCAGTAACTCAAATCCCAGTGACATTTGCTAAGGCTTCCCAGTTGCGCAAATTTCCTTCTGTGAAGTATGCTTACCTACTTTTTTGGTCATTATTGTTTTGTAGCCATTAATTCTGCAATTACTTTTGAGTTTAATGGTTTTCTTCATTGTTTCTTACTTAATTTGTGAAAAAGCATAATTTGTATAGAGTTCCTATTAAGCAGAAGATAAGTCTTTCAGAATTTAAAACAGCCTGAACCCGTGACAACTTTCTCTAAGGTTTTTCATGAGCGGTAACGATGGTTCTTTGAGTTAAGTACAGTTTGGCCCAGCCAGTGTGGTTCAGTGTTTGAGCGTCAACCAATGAGCCAGGAAGCCACCCTTCAATTCCCCATCAGGGCACATGCCTTGGTTGCAAGCTCGACCCCCAGTAGGGGGCATATAGGAACCAGCCGATCAATGATTCTCTCTCATCATTGATGTTTCTCACTATCCCTCTCCCTTCTTCTCTATGAAAAAAATAAAAACATTAAAAAAAATTTTTTTTTAAATAGATGCAGCTTGGAATTCTGGCTATAGTATTTACTATCTATGTAATATTAGATCGTTTATCTTGTCTCTCTGTATTTAGATTCCCTTTTCTATATTATGAGCATAATAAAAGCTACCAGTTGGAAGATATAAAGATTTAGTGAGATACAATAAGATGAAAGCACGCTCACTGCATGAAAGTGTTTTTGTTTCCATTTTGTCAACAACTCTATATCTTAGACAATAAGAAACTTTTGTAGGATGCCTACAACATCACATTGCATGGGATACTCACCATTAATTTGGTAAAACACTTGAAGGGCTCCCTGCAGACAAGAAGTTATGTCACCCAGGGCCTTCTGCAAAGTGTCTCGGTCCCGATTCTGTACTGCCTTGAATATAGTTGGAATGACCTTTAAAAAAAAGACAAACACTTAAGATTTTCTAGCATCAAACAGCAGCATGGAATAAGATCCTCCTAAGTCTTAATCCCTATATTAAACTTGGGGCTTTGCACTTCTTTCTTGAGCTGAGTACTCTCCAATTGTTTGACTAATTTCCTTATGTATCCTTAAGCATGGTCATGCTTTCTGAATTTGTTATTTAGAGATAAGTTTATAGAGTTTTATATCTTTCTATTTCTAATAGTTGTAGCATTTAGATTTATGTCACTAAATGGTATAGTTCCCATGTAAGTTGCATTGAAAATATTCCTCTTATTAGGATCTCAAATTTGATTTTAAATATATGGCTCCTACATTTTATATTTTACACAGTGCACAAAAATAAATAAAATATTTGTTACTGCAAGATGTTCCTTTACCTCAAATTAAATAATCAAAATTTATCTGCTTATATGAATTAAGATACAAATTTTCTAGGGTGATTGACATACTTTTATTGCAGAAGCAGCTTTTATTTCCACCAATAGAGAAACCAGAAAGAATCCTTTACCGCAATCCCCTCCAGGAAATTTAAACAGAATGTCCATGTTCCTAAGAAAAATAAATAAAAAAAGTCAAGGGTGTAGCAAGAATATGGGTATATTTGTTGACTACTTTCCAGTTTTTAAACATTCTTGTTTTATTTTCAAAATAATCTTGTGAGAGAAGTATTATAGGATTTACTATCTCCAATATATTGTCAGGAATATTAATAAAATAGAGAGATATAAAACACTGTCTAAGATCAAATCATTAGCAAACGATTAAGCTGGAACTTGAAATGCCATTCTAGAACTTGGAACTAGAAATTCCAAGACCATTTACGTTATTGCATTAATTTTTTACATGCACACATACACATACACAACCTCAGGGTTTACAGAGATGTCTGTGCGGTCTAATTTTAAGAAGTAATCTTTTTGCTTAAATAACTATATTCATATCCATATTTTTATCTGTGAATCTGATTCAATTTTTCAATGGTTTATATGCCTTGTAAGTGAATTAAACTGAAAAATTCAAATAACTGAACAGGCCCTATTTTCTTTCTGAATGAAGTTTTGTATTGGTGTAAACAGGTCTCAGTTTCTGTATATCCATGAGTTTCATGATATCATTTGATGCTAGATATCATGAGATTAAACTCATGATATCTGAAGCTAGATCACTCTCTAGCTTGCTGTGTTACTTGGAGCATTGATATTCCTTCTGTTTCTGCATTAGTGTTCTCATCTGTAAAATAAGACTGATAATATCCTCTCACTTAAAAACATTCTCTAGCTTCCCATTTACTTTAAGACACTGTTTGAACCTTTTATGCTAGCCAAAAATCCACATAATCTTTTTTTAAAGTTTATTTCTTCATTTCTTTCTCATACTATTACTTTCACCATTCATTTATCAGTAACATCAGCTTTCCTTCAGTTCTGATAATGTGCCAACATTCCCCTTCCCTTTTTATTGAATTTCTAGTAGTAGCCCTGTGTATGAGTCTGTGCACCAGTAGCTCTCTGCAGGGCCCGGCCGCTCGGCGCCCGCTGCCCAGAGGCTCTCTGTGGCCCAGAGGCCCATCCACGCCAGGCGCAGGATGCTTGCCTCGTCACCCGGGTGATGACACAAGCATTCCACCAGGCCGCTCACGCTGCCCGCTCTCAGCGGCTGCCCCTCTCCCCGGGACTAGGGGACTCCGGCAGGGCTGAGAGGACTGGGTGCTGCCATCTTGTGGCTATGGGCGCTGCCATATTTGTGATGGAGTCATGGTTAATTTGCATATTACCATTTTCTTAGATAGGATTGGGGTGACACTGGTTAACAAATTATACAAATTACAAGAGGTTCGGTGCACGAATTCATGCACCAGTGGGGTCCCTCAGCCTGGCCTGTGGTATTGGGCTGAAACTGGCTCTCTAACATCCCCAGAGGGGTCCTGGATTGTGAGAGGGTGCAGGCCAGGCAGAGAGATCCCACTGGTGCAGGGTCGGGGCTAGGGAGGGATTTGGAAGGGCTTCAGGGCATGTCCGGCCCATCTTGCTCAGTTCCAATTGGCCAGACCCCCAGCAGCAAGCTAATCTACCAATTGGAGCATCTGCCCCCTGGTGGCTAGTGCATGTCATAGCAAGTAGTTGAACACAGCATATCATTAACATATTACACTTTGATTGGTTGAACAGATGACTGGACTACTGGACACTTAGCATATAGGCTTTTATTATATATAATAGGATATGCTTACTTTATCCTCACTCTTGTTTTATACTCCACTATGAACACTTTCATTATTTTTTCCTTCTAGCTAATTCTTACTTATTTTTGAGGGCTCAGTTTAAATAACTAAACATAGAGATTCCTCCTTCATCACTTTCATTTGGTCGGAGCTACCAATACTTTATCTTCTTACCTCTTCTCATAATCGTACATCAGTTTACATAATTTTCACATTTCCTTTCCTCCCCATTCACCAGGGCATTCTTATACCTATGATAGTTACCTTATTTCCCTAGCTATTAGCCTTTGCTTAATATATAGATAAAAATAAAGCAAGGATTTGATCAAAAGGAACAGCTGAATATTTCTGGCCAATGAATTCAATAAATCATAGGTACAGAGATGTATGGGCATTTTGTAATTAGACCTATTAATTACATACGCGCGCGTGCGCGCGCGCGAGCGCGCGCGCACACACACACACACACACACACACACACATTATTTTCATATGTATTACTTTCATATGTATCTAAAGCTATAATATCAAACAGCCAGTCACACCACAGTCATAGATATAATTCAGGACTTGGATTATTTGCTCTTTAAACAGTTACTTGAATTACTTTTGCCTGAATTAAATTAACCTTTAAAATATATATTGATAAACCTATATTCACTTTAAATAACAAAGAATTCATAGACTAAAATAAGAATCAAATACTTACTCATAAGTCAGGGGTCTTATGAAACAGCAATAAAGCAATGGACCAATTAGAAGAGAGAAAGAAAACAAATTTAAAAATCAAATGGTTTCAAGTTATTGTTAATAGAATTAATACTACTATTATTAAATATGTCTATTATAAAACTATTGTTATTAGGTTTAATTGTAACTACTGAAGGTAAGACATAGTCAGATAAAAAAATCTTATTTTTATATTTTTCAAGTACTTATTAAAAACACTTATGTTAGGATTTTATAAGAAAATTAAAATTAAATATGTAATACATGTATATAGTCAATCTAGTTTTAACTAATAAAATCTTTCCTAGATCAAGTCCTTTCATTTGGGGCCATCACCATGTGTAAATATTGTTTTGTAGATATACACACAGAGCCATGGCGTAGCACAATTCTCTTATCCCTTTATTGTAACAGATCCTAACACTAAATGGTTAGGAAGGGCCTAAATTCTGAGCCAGCTGTTCTAAGAAACCCAGACATTGCCATTTCTACTGCTGAAGATGCTGACTCTTAAACTCAACTTGATGGTTAAAAATTAAATTTGTAGAATCTCAGAAACATGCTAATCAAGAGAATCTAGATGCAAAGACTGCAGATTCTATGATCTCATCACTATAGAATGCAATGGAAACGAGCTTCTGATATGACAAATCCGAATACATTTACCTGGGATTGGAGAAGGGAGTTGAAAGGAAAGAGCCACAAAGGGATTTCCTGAGGCGATAGAAATATTTTGTATCTTTTTTGGGGTTACACAAACAGTTATAATGGACTCGTCAAACTGAACTCTTGGGATTTGTGCATTTTATTGTATGTTAATTATATACCTTTCCCTGGTATATGTACAATATTAATACATTTGTGGTTATAGATACGTCAAAGCAACCATACCCCCAAACAGAGAAGAAAGCTGTGTTGCCAAAATTAAACCAACCACTAACCCCCTTTTGATGTTAATAGCATGTGCTCCCTTAGCTTTTAATATAATCACCGTTAACATACCCACTGGGATCAATTTTCTTCCAGTTTGCCAAGACACAGTCGGCATAAACTAGGATGGGAGGCAATCCCAGCTTCTCAGAGAGGCTGCAGTAAGGGACAGCGATATTTCTTGGCAGGACCTAATAAAACATAACGTTTAGTCCAGACTTTGAAAGTGCCTCACCTTTTCTGCTGCTTCCTGAGTGCCAAATGTGAGCTCTTGTATAGAATGGCACTTTGAAAACAAACAAATATAATTTCTCTTCTTCATTTCGTAACTTATTCCCAGTTAATTGTCAAAAGTTTGGGCTTTAGATGTGCATTGATGTGGTCATAATCTAATCATAGAGGAAAACAGAGGAAGAGGGCAAGGAGAACAATAGCTGTATCCTTGACTGTCTAATGACCCGGTAAGTTATTTGCATTCCTTCATTTATGAATCCCCTGAATATCAGTTTGGCAACTACTCTATGCAAGATATTCTTTATCCACCCACTATACAAAGATAATGAATTGTCTCAAAGAAGTTCTAAGTCATCTGTAATTAAGATATTTGCGTATCATACATACTAACAATGCAAGAAGACAGCTGCTCTCAGAGCACAGTGCTGACAGAAGCCGTCTACTGGTTGATTTCTTAGGAAAACTCCTCCTAGGGTGGCATTAATGCTTGGCCTTGAATACGTACCTGTGTTGGTTGGAGGGATTACAATTGTTTAATATTTCCATGTGAAATATGTCAACTGGAGTGATATTCTTGGCTTCTCTCAGCTCTTCCACTCACCCTTCCTCAGAAGCTTATTTAAGTGCTGAGTTTGGGAGTAAAACTAAAGCTCAGCCTCCTTTTCCCCTCAACTCCCCTTTGCCTGAACCTGTTACTTGCAGAATTCAGCTCTGTTTTGGGCCACGTGGTAAAAGGCTCCTCTCTCCATGGGTAAGTGCACTCGGCAGGTCCGTGGTTGCTACATACTCAAGCCACATACTCCAACTACTGCATTAGTGACTTCTTATCCACTTTGATGATTAGATGGCCCCAGGTAATAATTACAGCCATGCTCATCATCACAGCCTGTGGTTGGAATATGTCTATCTAACGGGCAAAGGAGAGGGACGTGTGGCCCATCTGGCCCAGTGGGCGGTGGGACTCCAGCAGCAGAGATGGTGTGACTGTGTGGCCCCCCCCACAGTCCTGCGAACGTCATGGGAGCTACAATTCAGTGGCGTCAGATTGGCTTAACATCTAGAAATGATGATTTAGTGAAAATAACAAAAATGTTAAAATCGAATCATTGACATTTAAAAGAACAACTGGATGTGCGCTTCCCTTTGCAGACCTTGTGCCACTGAGAATCAAAACATTTTGTTTGGCAAATGCTTTTCACATATTTCAAAAGGAAATAAATCATGTCCCTCTCTGAATTAGAGAAAAGATCAAAAGGGAACAAAGGGGGGAAACATTTAATCAGATAATTCATGTGAAATGACTTAGGAAAAAGAAAAAATGTTCAAATGCATCCTGATCTATTATAGACATTCAGATAATTGCTAAGAAACACAATTGATAATTTCTTGCCAATTCTCCAGCAAAAATGGGCTTTATATTAATGTAGCTTACTTTTTGTCCATTTACTTTATCCTTCCTACAAGTTCTTTACTTGAATTTTTAAATCTTTTTTTTTTTTGGTACTTTTTTATTGCCAGCTCCTAATATCTCTTTCAACATAATATGACACACAAAAACTGAATACATTATAAAATACATTTCTAAGTATTATAATTCTGACCTCCTGCCTGGTAAATTTATTTATTTTTTTATTCTGCTATGTACAGTTTGGTCTACACATTTTTTCCTAGTCTCACTTTCTTTTCTGCTCCCCTTCTATTTGGATAAGCTTTACCCAATCTTTCAAGAAGTAATTCAAATTCCACTTTCTTAAAACATTTCATGATCATATCAACCTCTAGTGTAACTCCTCTGGACTCTCATACTTTTGTACCTAGAATATGCTGCACTGTATTATTGATGCTTCATTATGGATTTTTTTTTTATATATAACTATAGGCCCAGTGCACAAATTTGTGCACAGGTGAGATTGATATGATTATGAAATCTTCAAGAAAGTGGAATTTGAATTAGCTCTTGAAAGATGCAAGATAGCATTTTAGCATTAACTAAGAATAGCCCTATAATTTTTATATCTCCCAAAGTAATGTATTGACTATAGAATCACATTACAATGATAAAACACTAAAATGAAGTAAAGGTTTTTTCAATACCAGATTCAATAAATAAAGTTCATAAACTTAATGAAAAATTATAAAGTGATTTTAAATGATAACTAGTATGATAGTATAGTAACTAAAAAAATGCTTACAATATAAATTAAGTGAAAGAAGCAGGATATATATGTATTTGCACAGAGTTTTACTAGTGTTTTACTAGTTATAAACTGTTTATAACTAGCAAAACACTAAAAATTCTGTTTTATAACTAATAAAACACTAAAAATTCAATAATGATCACAGTTGAAATTACAAAGTCAGTGAATAATATTTTTATCTCTTTTTCTATTTTTTAAGCTTCACAAAATGCAGTTAAAATAGTTTTTGAATGTTTTTTTTACATCATCTAATAATGTAAATTGGATGTAAATTTTTTCATGTAATAAAATAAATATAAAATTTCCACACCTTACGGACATCATCACCTCGGCCCCACACATATGCCATGGTGATATAGCCCAGGACCAGATGTGCGAGGCGCTGCAACTTGTGTCCTTGGAGGTCATTGATGCTGAGCAATGGTAACTGAAAATAAATGAAGAAGTTGACTGAAATCAACATGGGTGATACTCTATCTCCAAAAACAGATAAAAAATATTAAGTTATAAGAAAGATGGCCAATATAATAGTTACTCAAACCTTCTCAACTTCTGCACGTAGTTCACCATTCTCAATCAGGACAGGAAGCTTTTTAACAATGGAAATCCAGGCATCATAAGGGTAAGGAAGTTCCTCCTAAAAAAAAAAAAAAAAAAAGATATTTTTTTCACCAGCGGAAATTATTGTAACATAGTTTTGACTCCCATTGATAGTCTGTCTTGACTCTAAATCAATTCCGCTCAATGAAGCCTCAACACACAGTTGCCTGTTCAGCTCTATTAGCACCTTCTCTGCATTCCCTCTCTTCTCTCAAGCACTCTCATTTGCCTCTTTTTCAAAGGTCACCTACAATGTTCCTCTAAAAGCTTCCACCCCCATGGGTGGTCACAAGATGGCCGCCCCATTTGGTTAAAAGATGGCCGCCCCCAGGTGGTCACAATATGGCAGCCCCCATGTGGTCACAAGATGGCTGAGCCCATGTGATCATAACATGGCTGCCCCCATGTGGTCACAATATGGCCGTCCCCATGTGGTCACAAGATGGCTGAGCCCATGTAGTCACAAGATGACTGCACCCATGTGATCATAACATGGCCGCCCCCATGTGGTCACAAGAGAGCCGCCCCCATGTGGTCACAAGATGGCTGTGCCCATGTGGTCATAAGATGACTGTGCCCATGTGGTCACAAGATGGCCGCCCCATTTGGTTAAAAGATGGCCGCCCCCAGGTGGTCACAAGATGGCAGCCCCATTTGGTTAAAAGATGACTGTGCCCAAGTGATCATAACATGGCTGCCCCCATGTGGTCACAATATGGCTGTGCCCATGTGGTCACAAGATGACTGCGCTCATGTGATCATAACATGGCTGTCCCCATTTGGTTAAAAGATGGCCACCCCCAGGTGATCACAAAATGGCCGTTCCCAGATGGTCACAATATGGCCGCCCCCATGTGGTCACAAGATGGCTGTGCCCATGTGATCATAACATGGCCGCCCCCATGTGGTCACAAGATGGCTGCAACCATGTGATCATAACATGGCTGCCCCCATGTGGTCACAATATGGCTGCCCCCATGTGGTCATAACATGGCTGCCCCCATGTGGTCACAATATGGCCGCCCCCAGGTGATCACAAGATGGCAGCCCCATTTGGTTAAAAGATGACTGTGCCCATGTGATCATAACATGGCTGCCCCCATGTGGTCACAATATGGCCGCCCCCATGTGGTCACAAGATGGCTGCGCCCATGTGATCATAACATGGCTGCCCCCATTTGGTTAAAAGATGGCCACCCCCAGGTGGTCACAAGATGGCCATGCCTCCAGGATCACAAGATGACTGCGCCCATGTGATCATAACATGGCTGCCCCCATGTGGTCACAATATGGCCACCCCCATGTGGTCACAAGATGGCTGCGCCCATGTGATCATAACATGGCCGCTTCCATGTGGTCACAAGATAGCTGCACCCATTTGGTTAAAAGATGGTCGCCCCCTTGTGGTCACAAGATGGCTGCCCCCAGGTGGTCACAAGATGGCCATGCCCAAAGGGTCACAAGATGGCTGTGCCCATGTGGTCATAATATAGCTGCCCCCATTTGGTTAAAAGATTGCCTCCCCCATGTGGTCACAAGATAGATAACATGGCAGACATCAGCTGTGGTGGGATGGTGGAGCAGGTGAGTGGGGGCAGACCCAGGTGGGATGCTGGTCACTGTCATCAGGGTGAACCTCTGGTGGTTACTGAAAAGTCTGTGGTCCCACACACGTTGGTCCCACCCAGTGCTCTCGCCTGCTGCCAGTGCCAGCCCCACTTGCATTCACTGCTAGCATCAGAGCCGCGGCTCGCATCCATTGCGGACATGTGGCACTGGCCCTGATTGCTTGGTGCCATCAGTGAGTATGAGCCGTGGCTGCTGGCCCTGATCACCCTCAGGGCTTCTCTACCTCCTCCTGCTCCTGAGGGGCAATTGGGGCTGGCATCTGCCTCTCACACCCACTGCTAGCACTGGAGCCCCTGCTCACACCCACTGCGGGTGCCAGCCCTGCCATACCCACAGCAGCCAGCACCATTGCTGCCACTTGAGCTCCTTGCTGTTGTCCGGTGCTGGTCCCGATTACTGCTGAGGGCTTCTCCACCACCACCACCACCCCCCATTTCTGAGGGGCGATCAGGGCAGCAGTGCTGCTCCCCCCAACCTAAATGCTCCACACTGTCAGCGGGTATGAGCGGCACTGGTGCTGTCAGCATGTGGGATCTGCGGTGGTGGGGGCAGGGATGCTGGCAGAGAGGCCTCAGCAGGAGGGTCTGGGTGGGGGCACAGAAGATAGACCAAGACTCACCCCTGTGCCCACCTCAGCCTCATGGCCCACAGTGCCTTTCGAGGTGCACAAATTCATGCACTAGACCCCTAGTGTACTATAAAATCCAAATTATTTCAAGGGCTGCAGACAATTGGTGAGTCCTAATCTGTTAGAACAGATTTTTAGAAAAGATCTATGCAGTATATTTGCTAGTGAGTCACCTTTCTTGTTACCTCTCAATTCTCCTCCCTAACCACAAAAATGCTGTGCTCTCATGATATATATATATATATATATATATATATATATATATATATATATAGTGTGTGTGTGTGTGTGTGTGTGTGTGTGTATGTATGTGTGTTTTCTTGCATAGCACACCACAATTATTGGTTGTTATTTTCCCCCAGATAACAGAAATTACTTTTTTGTTACATATTATGATTAGTGCAATATTTCATAGAAATTTCAACAAATATAAAGTTCAATCAATAATATACTTCTGGTTCATGGGATGCCTAAATGGCATGATCCAAATAAATGAAATTTAACAAGAGGACCATTCAATTATGTTAGATTAGAGGATGTATTTTGTATACAAGTATAATTAGTAGACCTTATTTTCCTTTGTCATAGAAAGCTTGCCGAGACTGGTTTGGCTCAGTAGACAGAGCGTCAGCCTGCGGACTGAAAGGTCCTGGGTTCGATTCCAGTCAAGGGCATGTACCTTGGTTGCAGGCACATCCCCAGTAGGGGGTGTGCAAGAGGCAGCTGGTCAATGTTTCTCTCTCATCGACGTTTCTAGCTCTCTATCTCTCTCCCTTCCTCTCTGTAAAAAATCAATAAAAAAATATATATTAAAAAAAAAGAAATAGAAAGCTTATTAATTAGAAGAGATGGAATGAAGTTTTTGAGCTTATTATTTGCAGAGAATATCTTCAGTAAAGAACATAAAGCAACCCTTAATTTTTGGGTGTATGTTTCACATCATTGAATCTAACTTCCTGAGCATCTCAAATAGCAGCATTATTTTTCAAGTAGCTCAGGACGAGTTTGTTTTGCCTTTGTTGGGGTTTTTGCTTTAACTTTTGGAATCAGTTCTGGAGGTCTCTATAATTAGCATGATTGTTTTTTTTTTTTTTTTTTTTTAAGAGAACTAACTCTTTGTGGGAAGTGAGGGGGACTAAATATGAGCTTTTGTAGATTCTGAAAAAGATTTTTTAAAAATTGTACCATTGATAAATACAATCTGGTAATTTGTGTATGCTTGTATGGAAAGGGGGCAGGTCTGACTAGCATCGATTTACAAATATAAAGTAAACTAGATGTTTTTAGCAATAAAATTAAGCCATACTTCATATTCTTAACTTAATAATCTGAAGGGAAAAAAACGGACTGGGAGGAAGAATTTGCTCTGGATTTGCCTGTATTACAAAGAAATGTAGGGGATATTTTTTCCAAGTACAGTTAGATCAGAAGCTCTGACTAAAAATGTGTTTGTTGCATTTAAAAGTGCTTTCTAAAGCATGCATTCTATTTGAGCCACAAACAGGAACATATAGTAAAACATTATTGTAACAACAAGTAACTGGTTCCTAGAAATACTCTCCTAGAATCTCATTGTCTTGTTAAATCCAAGAGTGTGGGTGAGGAAGGGAAGCAAGCTTAGTTATCTCTTAAGACAGTCAGCAGAGTATGATGGTTTTCAGATCATAAACTCTAGAGCCAGATGAGAGAGAATCCCTGCCATTGCTCCCTCTCTCTCTCTCTCTCTCTCTCTCTCTCTCTTTTCCTTTTTGACTCAACCTCAACTCCAATCTCCTCACCCCCCACACAGAGCTATTTGCCTGCTCTTTATCTATGAGTCGGTGTAGACAAAACATTTTTTTTAATAGCTAGATCTGATTCCTTTGACTCCTATGCTTAGTAAAAATAAGTAATATTAATGTAGCACATTTGTTAGATGGGCCATCTCCGAAACCCAATCCAAGTATAAACATACACTTTGTACAATTTAAGGTATGCCAGCTAAGAAAAGGGATTCTTTAGACTCATGAGTCAGTCATTACTGTCTGTTTTTTTTTGTTTGTTTGTTTTTTTATGCACTTTCAAAACACAATTGTATTAAACCAAAATACTTCTACTGTGTCTTTATCTCATCACCCTCCGTATCTGTATAAGATAAGCAAATACATCTAAGACTAAATTTCTAGGTTGAAAATTTTAAGAAAGTCAAGTAAGACCCAATTGTAAAAATTCTGCTTTACCCTTTTGTTCATATAAACTACTAATCCACATGTTTAAAATAGAAATTAGCTTGTCCATGTAAGTAATAATGAGAAAATAGTTTTGCCATAATTCGGTACCCTCTCTTACCAGTGGATTTGGTAGAGCGAAGCCCACTTCTTCATCTATGTGGTATTCTTCACTTTCCAAAGAGCTTTCCATGGGAGATGCTTTATGTGCCATTCTTGCAGTCCACTTCTCTGGCCTCCTGTCTGTGGAGAAGTCTCAGAGCATCTATTTATTAGAGAGGTTGCCATAGCTCTTGACCACAACACCTCACGTAGGCAGTAGGAAATTACTTCCACTTTTGGAGGAATAGTTTCATTTTCCATTTTCTTTATTTGCAACTTGATAAACATGAAGATCACAAAAGCATCACTGTTCACAATATGAAGGAACTAAACATTTATAATTCATGTCAAATCTTTATCACTGGGAATATTATCTGTTTACTGCCATAGGGGAAGTCAGGATGGACGTAATTGAAATTTTAAAATGCCATGAAAATTGGTAACCAGAAGAAAACATTTTTTATTTTACGAAATCTTTTAAATTTCTGAATTAAAATGGTAAATAGGACCAAGTCTAAAGTCCTAAACTACCATTAGGTTATTATGGTCACTGGCTTTACTTTAGCCTATCAGGGTTCTTTGGACATATTAGTGTCTTGTTTCAGCAGCCGTGAACTATACCAAGCTATTAATGACTCGATGCAAGAAAAAAAAATGGTAGCACATGAAAAACTTATAAAGATGGTACCTCTTTACTGTGGGGGCTGTTTCTCTGAATTCAACGCAGCACATTTATTTATTTCCAAAGGGGGGTTTAAGGCCAAAGAGGTTTTGGGTGTGCCCAGGTCCTATTGATTTAGCATATCAAGACCTGAGTAAGTCAAGGTCCTATTCGTTCCTTATTCCACGCACAAGGATAGAGATTAGAAATCAGTACTGATAACAGTCTCCCACATTTTGTGGAAACATGTTCCCAGGGCGTGGCTCTGCCTTGAGTTCAGCTGATGATAATTAAAGGTCATCCAGGTGCATTCCAGGGGCCTCTACACTTCACCTTTCCATTTTTTCTTACCCAGTCTTTGATCTGTGTTCACAATGATGATGAAATTTTTCCTTCTCCATATTCCTAATAAGTCATTTTAAGGCAGGTTTTCCTCCATCTCTACTATATCTGACTTCAAGGGACTGATGAGGCAACAATCTTTTTTTTTTTTTTTTTTTACAGAGAGGAAGGGAGAGGGATGGAGAGCTAGAAACATAGATGAGAGAGAAACATCAGCCAACTGCCAACTGCACACCCCCTACCGGGAATGTGCCTGCAGCCAATGCACATGCTCTTGACCTGAATCGAACCTGGGACCTTTCAGTCTGCAGGCCGATGCTCTATCCACCGAGCCAAACTGATTTCGGCTGAGGCAACAGTCATTTGAATACTTTGTTAAAAGTTGAAAGGAGGGCTAAACTGCCTTGAAAATGGTGTGTGTGTGTTTTATCAAGATTTAAATTAAGGCTATACTTGATTCAGGCTTTCAGAGTGTCTGCAGGTCTATGGACACTTACAATCAGTGTTTCAATCTTGCTTAAAAAAAAAGCAGAAGCAAAAGCAGTAGCCATATCATTCCATATGGTAATCAGAAGCAGAAGAGGAGTTAGTGTTCAGTACATTAAGAGATAATGCCATTTTTGTGGAGGTATTATTGATATGAGAAAATGCTAAGTAACTGACTTACTATCTGGAAAGGGATTTACTATCGGGGAAAGGGAGGGAAGAAGAGACTGAACATAAATTGCACCTATGGATGAGGACAATGGGGGATGGGGAGGGGGCGGAGGGTGGGGTGGGAACCTGGTGGAGGGGAGAAGAAATGAGGAACCTTTGTAATAATATGAACAATAAAGATTGATTTAAAAAATAAATAAATAAATAAATAAATAAATAAATAAATAAATAAATAAATAAAGAGACAATGCCATTTTGTCAACCAGTTTATTGGTACCAGGAACAAATTTTAATAGTCCATTCCTGTTTGACTATGTTCTAGAAATAGTTCTCATACTGTTCTTCCCTATTACATTAAGGCATTTAAGAATGAAGATTTACAGGAAAATGGTCTTTTTATAATAAGAATAAGGGAAACCAAAACAGAAATTATACAGGAAAGAGAACACAATGGCTCACATATTTAAAATGAATCATCTGTATGGGAGTGGGGGGTGGTGAGCAATGCTAAGATATGTACACATATAATACCTTAATAAAAAATGAAAAAATAAATTTCTAATCTATTATGATAAAAATAAATAAAATAAATAAAATAAAATGAATCATCCATAAGGCTGTTACTACTGAAACCAGTTCCAAGAGAAAATAAATAAATAATAGATGAGTGGATAAATAAATAAGTAAATAAAATGTCACCTACTATATTTATAAGAAAGCCAAAAATATCAAAAAAATATTGAGAATTTGAAAATAAGTGGTTATCTCTATGGTGCTAATTCTTTGAACCTGAATAATCTTTTCTTGTGGGTATGTCTAGACAGAGGCATGTAAAGAACTTTTTCTGGCCAGATAAAAATCTCTGAGGATTTATTTACTTAAAAGAAATGAGTCTTGAAAAGATTTTCGTGACTCTACTTATACAACCACTTAACTAAATCTATTCTACATTTGACTGCAGGAATAATAATACTTCTTTATTCTACTTTTTATCTCCAACTTTTTTTTAAAAAACTTATTGTTTCTTTCTTTTTTTATTTAATATATTTTATTGATTTTGTACAGAGAGGAAGGGAGAGAGATACAGAGTTAGAAACATCGATGAGAGAGAGTCATCGATCAGCTGCCTCTTGCACACCCCCTACTGGGAATATGCCCGCAACCAAGGTACATGCCATTGACGGGAATCGAACCCAGGACCCTTCAGTCCCCAAGCCGATGCTCTATCCATTGAGCCAAACTGGTCTCGGCTTATCTCCAACTTTTTAACATCTTCAAACTTCATGATCTTATTCTCAACTGATCCTCATTCTTTATTAATCTTATTTTTTATTTAGTAATAACCAGATTCAATCATGCAGGGTTGCATAACACTACAGAAAGTTAAAACGGAGTTAACACTATCTTTATGAACAGTGAAACTGGGGGGGAAATGTGTGGGAGAGAAATCACAAAGAAAAGAGAAATAAGAACTGGCATTCCCTCCTTCTTCTATGAACTGTCAAAAGTTCTGGACTCTATACTGAGCTGAGCACACACAGAACAGATCCAAAGAAGAATAGTAAACCTCAGGAACTGAACTATAATGTAAATAACTGCCCAAATCCTCCACTAAACCTTGAGTGGTACCCAACAGACAGAAGTAGCCTAGAATAGGCTTTTAATGACTTTGAAACTACTCTACATGATAGAAAAGACAGAACCTGTGGTAAGAGTGTGACCAGCATAATAGCATGCTAAAACAAACAAACATTCTCCAGAGGATTTTAACAGAATTTAGAACCTCACATCACAGTATTATAATCCAAAATTGTGTAACATTTAAAAGCCAGGGAAATATGACCGAAGGTTAGTGGAAAAGAAAACCAACAGATGCCAATCTTGAAAGGATACATATTATAACCTTCTTCCATGAGGTAAATGTGAGCATTTATTAACTTAATGAAACATATACCTTCTCAGGAGAGAAACTGAAAATGTGAATCAGATACAAATTTACAATGTATAGTAGAAAACAAAAATACAATACTTAACAACCAATGGGATAAAGAAGTAATCAAAACATAAATTTCAAAATTAGACAAAAGAAAATATAAGATGCCAAAATGGGTGAGATGCAGCAAAAGCAGTTATCGAAAGGAAGTTTATAGTGACAAATGCCTACATAACGAAACAAGAAAAAACCTCAGAAAGACAAAAGCAAAACTAAACACCTTTAAAAACTAGGAAAAGAAGAACAAATGAAGCCTAGGAGTAGTAGAAGGAAGGAAATAAGAAAAATCAGAGCAGAGAGAAATGAAATAAGGAATAAAGAGACAATAGAAAAGCCAATGAAAGTCAGAGCTTGTTCTCTGAAAAGATAAATAAAATTGACAAATATTTATCTGCCTTCACTAAAGAAGGAGAAGGAAGAATGGTAGGGGTGGAGGAGGAAGAAGGACAACATTGAAAAAGGCTCTGGCCAGTGTCATCCCAGGTCAGGGCACAGGCCTGCATTGTGAGCTCCACCCCTGGCTGGAGGCAAGCAGAAGGCAAAGAAGAACTCAAAATAAATAAAATCATAAATAAAAAGGATATGTTTCAACTGATACCAAAAACAACAATAACAACGAAGAATCATAAGAGACTACTATAAATAACTATATATACCAAAGAATTTGACAACCTAGAAGAAATGGTTAAAATGCTAGAACATACAACTACCAAGACTGAATCATGAAGAAACAGAAAATCTAAACAGACTGATTACTAGTAAGGAGAGTGAATCCTTAATTAAAAACCTCTCAGCAAACAAAATTCCAGGACTAGATTTCACTTATGAATCTTGTCAATTACTTTCGGGCTCTTATGTAGTTCCTTTGGTCCTTTTTTTCTCTTGTGTGGTCTTCCTTTGTCACATGATGATTTCTTGTACTGAATGGTTTGATACTTTCTTTTTTTTTCTTTTTCTTTATTTTATTTTACTTGTCCATCACAATTTATTCCCTCTTATACCTGTATATTCTTTTCCCCATTCACCCTACTCCCTGCAATCATCACAGTTGTCCAAGAGTTCTTTCTCTCTCTTTTTATCTTTGTTGATCAATCTCTCCATCCACCCACTCCCTGCTTCCTGCTCTCTATCTATGAGTCTGTCATTATTTTTCTTGTTAGTTCGGTTTGTCTTTTAAATACCACATGAGTGAAATCATATGGTACTTTTCTTTCTCAGACTGGCTTATTTCACTTAGCATATGGTAATGTGATCCAGTCAATCCACGCTGTCACAAAGTGTAAACCTTTCTTCCTTTTTATAGCTGAGTAGTATTCTGCTATGTAAATATATCATAGCTGTTTTATTTACTGATTGCGTGGGTTGCTTGGAAATCTTGGGCTTTGTAAAAAAAAAAATGCAATGAGCACAGGGTTCAGTCTTTCAAATTAGTATTTCAAGTTTTTTTTTTTTTTTAATA